CAAATATAAATGCTCAGAATGTATTATTTTATTGCACTAAACATTATTATGATGGTGTAGTATTATAGATAGTTTAACAATAATTGCGCTAGGTTTAGGCTATGTTATGTGCAATGCCTTGTAATCAGCATTCTAAGGAATCGTTCGTATAAATATGAATATGAATACGCCACCATTTGTAGATGGCGCCTGTAATATCGTGGCTATAGTCTATTTCTTTATCACGTATGTATATGAAAYTGTTTCCCTTCAATTCAAATAAATGCACGGACTTATGTCCGAAAATCCATTAAAATTGTAAATAATCACACGCACCCGGTGTTATTACACTATTGCAATACTTATTAAATATTAACAACTTATTACTACTTTATTAAGTGTTAGCAGTGTACTTACTTTACCTTCGTCTTATTTTAAATTATAATTAATAATTGTTTGTTTTTAAGAATAWTATTTGTTCGTTGGTAGATGGGTAATTTTTTTTTTTATAATAAGTACTGAAAATACACTTCTCCGCAGTAGTTGGCATCATAAATCATAAGAATAAACATTGATGTTCAAATGCCCAATGTTGTTTTTGATAAAGTAAACATAGTATGATGTATATTTTAAAATATGTATTAACATATTGTGCACTATATCTTATATAATATATATAAATATAAATGAATTTCTGTCTGACATTTGGTACAGAGATATATTAGACCTATGGATAGAAGATAGGCTAAGTTAAAAAGTGATAGGCCCAATCCCGGGAGGGTCCCAAATATACATTTTGAGATTTACGATGGAAATTTTTATTTATTTATAAATAGTTGCTATTGGTGATGTTTGCTATTAGTAAAATATGCTGATACCATAGCTGTATGTCTGATATTCACGTGTCGGAAAACCTTCAATGGAGAACAAAAAATATTGTGCATCCAAATGCACTTCTATAAATATTAAATATCATTCAATTGAATACTTGAATAGTCACAGACTTTTCTTGATAAAACGAATAAATTTATACATAATGATATTAATATACTAAACTGAATATCGTAGTAAAATTATTACTTGATATATTTTAATCGTTATCTATCTTATGTRTAMAAATATATTGCTAGCATAATCACACGAAACGAKTTTATCACATACCTTGAGTCATAAAAGAGGTAGGTTTTTAACAGAGTATAAAAGTGCAGGGATTCAACTAGTTGTATATAGAAATTATTTAATGTTATTATTGTAGACATAAACTATGGTGAAGTTACATGATACATTGATGATAGATGTAATTGAACTTAAAAACTGCTAATCGATAAAAAAGTCATTAATAAAGTACTCGATACATAACTTTTTTTACTACTTAGATTTTAGTAAGTAGATATATTTTTAATTTTTACTTCTATTTTCAGAAAATAATTTTTTTTATGGGAGGATTCGTGATCATATTATCCGGTTCATTACATTCACCGATATCTATCATTAACGATTATCATGTCCCGTGATCATTAGGCCCCAATTATTAAACACACAAAATAAAATACAATTACGTATTTAATAATTTAGTTATTGTTTAATTCGAATAAAATAAATATTATTATCCATTATTAGTATTTAATAGTAACCTTAACTTATCGATTCCTTTATTTACCCTTTACCCATATAGTTGTTTTCAATTAGGTATCCGAAATGAAAATTTAACATTAAAAAAATAAATACCTATTACCATAAGTATAGAATGATTTTTTTTTAGCTATATTTTAACTGTCTCCAAAATTTATCTTTTATGCATTGAAAAACATRTGAAAAACTTCATTTCTAAAATAGACAAAAAAACATATTATACTGCACTAAACGTATACTTAAAATAAGTGCATTAGTTTTAAAATTATTTAATATCTGTATTCTGCAATAACATTTCAAATTCAAACTTAAAAACAATTTATTGTTTATTATTAAAAATAATAATAATTGTCTCAAAAAAGAAGTTAATGCAAATTATGTAATAGTATGATCTTGAATGTAATTTATAGGTAAACACTGTTATAAGAGTAAAATACTTTTCTCGATGAAAATAAAAAAACGATGATCTCAATTTTTATAGAAAATCACACTGTGTGATAATTTATTATTGTAGATGAGGATTATTRTAGCTACCTATCGTATAATGCTGCGACAATCGTATTTCGCGTGCATTCAAATTTCTAAAAAACGTTGAAAAAATGTCCTGATAATTTTTGAAACTTTTTTTTTAATGCTGGTGTTTTTTCAAATATAAATTGTTTCTACAAATATTATCTTTAATGCCTGTTTAAGTAGTATATTTAAGTAGTGTTTTTCACTCATCACAGAATGAAAAGTTGACTAAGGTCAAAGATGGGTGAAATTTAGCTTACRGCCTTTGTTTATTACATTTACATAGGAAATTAATTTAAAAAATGTAAATAACTTGATACAATCAGTCATAACTCATAGACCTATTTACCAATATAAATAAGTGTCGTTAAGAATTTTTTGTAGAAATTATGAATTATAAACATTGTATATAGGTATGCAYAATCTACTATTTTTTTTAACCACAATTGGGGCTTATCATTAATTTAWACCGTAGTTCAAATGGACGTACCCATCAATTGGGCTTATAGGTATATTGATTAAAATATCGATAATACAATATAGCCACAATATTTTTTATATGCGTCTGAACTTAGAATTATCWCAAAAATCATMAAAAATTTTCTTTTCTATATCTAATATTAGAAGAATTATCACAAGCTTCCTCATAAGTTTTTACACCTATAACGAAAAAAAGGTAATGGATAATCATATTAATTTTTTATAAGCGTTTTAAATTTAAATATTTGTCGAGAATATTCACCCGTAAGTTAACTTTTTTTTATTTTGTTGCAAATCAAAAACGAATAATTTTATAGACATTTGAAATTTTCACCAAATGTATCATCCATTATGATTTTCTATAATATAATTTAAAAAATATTTATACTATTTTTAAGTGATAAGTAAACAGACATTTTTTTCCTTTAATTATCGATATTCAAATTATCCCTTGGTAATAAAGTTTGAAAATGTTGTACACAATATTCTCATAAGTTGTTGTGATAGCAGTTTAAAAATATTAGTATACACGATTTTAAGTATTTAAATTTTGATAACATTTTATCAAAATCACGAAAATTTACAAATTAATTTGTTACAAATGTATAAAATATTCAATTTTTTTAGCTTAGCGTCGAAAATGTAAAACATTGTTTCTCATAAGTAATTTATAGTGTTTTTACTGTATCTAGCACAAACATCTAAAAGACAGACCTATATAAATACGAAACGACRAAACAGTTTTTTTTTAATATTTACTGTTAAATAAATAACATTTGGAACAAATTTGATATTTAAACGGTGAATAACAATTTTATTTGTTTAACTGTAATAAGAAAACATTATGTTTGGATATTTTCAAAGTTTTTAAAGCATATAAAATAATATATTTTAAACCCACAATTTAATTTTTGAACGTAATTTTTGGACAATAATTAAATCAACATTTTGGAACAGTTTTGCATATAAGTACGAAATATGAAAATAATAATATTACAGTAATTCCCGCGGTGGTAGATAGGTTGGCAAACACGCGCACAGTCGTGCAGTGATAATATGCTGCCTCGCGATGATCGTCCAGCGCCGCCGTACGGCCTACGATATAACAATGTTGATATCGAAGTACTAAAATGTTTTGGTGTTATATGTTCTTATCAAATATTAAAACAATTCAGTTAACGACTGTATAATAAAATGTTACATATTATTTACCATCATCTGCCGCACTGCTTTCACACCCAACCTAACCGGGTCAAGGCTGTTGCGGTTCTTTTTACACGGGTTGGACTGGGATTTAGTCGTGTCATGTATACATGTACGTGTGTGTGAGTGAGGGGGGGGAGGGGTTTTGATTACAAAAAAAAAAAATTTGAATTAAAAACTAACGACCGTACAATAGGTACTGTTGTAAATATTTATGACAATATATATCATATATTATATTATTGTTTTACGAACGAGCGACCGCCGATCATAATATTGTTATGAATAATAATAATAATAATAATACGCCAGTGCGTCGGCGCGCGTCGTATCATTCCGTGAGCGGAGCAGCTGCTCGCGTCGCGCCGCGTTTATTCGCCATCGTACGCGGTACTTGGTCCTCAGACGTCAGTTGCAGTTTGCCGGGTCACGCGCACGACTGCGCCGCTTCGCCGTCCGGTCGCTTTTCGTTTGAATATTATATTTTGTATTGTACAACACACCGATTTGTTATCGTTTGGTTTTCTACACAACACCAGCTGCAGAGAATCTGGCGGCATTTTTAGCGATTCCGTCGTCAAAAATCCTGTCCAAGACTACGTGTACCTGTAACCTAGCCTATACCTACTCTGTAATATCGTTAAAATTTTCATAAATTTTCCCGCCGGACTGTATCATAATAACGTTGTCTGCAATTTTCCGCGTTCTGCAGCATTTCCCGCAACACACTTTGTCCGTCGAGATGGGTGACTGCGGCGATGCCGAGGATGAGGTAAACATATATACGACCTTTGTCGTATTAAAATAATATCGAATCGTCTATTCCGATGATCTAAAGTCTCGTTGAGACGACAAGTTTATAGAATATCAAAAGCATCACATATACATGTATACCTGTCATGTTCAATAGTATATTATACATTTGTAATTATTGACTTAGGTTTATATAATTATATAATCAACTTATATATACTGAGATCAATAATATTAACAACAGTATTCTTGTTATTGTCTTACAGTTTGAAGACGCTCTGGAGGTGATTCCGGCGTGAGTATAAGACACTACAAAACATACATTTTTTTTTTTTATCAAACCTACACGATATTACTATAAATTATAAGTTTATAAAATATTTATGTTTTCCGATCTAGTTATTTCATGATTAGACGTAATAATACGTATGTAGGTAGATAGTAGGTATATATATAGGTATGTTCCAGCTATACCACAATACTGCTACATCTTACTGAACCATAACTTTTCTAGTGAACGGAGTCTAGATTATCAGTTATGTAAAATGTAAATATATAATTATTATATCTAATTAGATAGATAGATGTAAATTCCCTACATTATTAAATTTACTTTTTATTTGGATAATGAAAAAAGGAAATAATAATTTTACGGCTTAGTAGCTAGTTAATAGAAGTAGTATAGGTAGTTAATAGTATATAAGTGCAAACTGCAACGAATCAACGTGTAAAATTTTTATAGCAATTTTATATTGCAACTATAAACAATAAATAAGAAATAACAATTCGATTAGGTACATATGGGTATGGAAAAAATTAAGTAAAAATTAATTGAATAATTACAAGTAATAAATTGGTAGAATATCTTTTAAACGTATAACAGTTAAAATTGTATACCTAATTGATGTATAAATAAACTTGAAAAATAACACAAACAAAAGTATAGGAATTGAAGGTWGTGTTATGCTGGTTGGCTAGTGTAGAATAACTTCTGTATTAAATTTAAATTGTTGACAGTGTTCCTCATTATAATTGTATTATAATATGTTATTAAACACACGCGATGATAAAGTTGCATCATCACTATATAATATTACATCTGACAGAAAGGTAACATCTGAATAATATACAGTTTATAAATATCAAATATATATATGATTCATGATCAATGACAATAATAACTAAYAATGTACCTAGCTGCCAGCTGGTAAGTACTTAAAAAGTAAAAACTCGTGATGGTCAATGATTTTGATATAACTTTATATAAGTTTAATGTTTGAAGCCTATTAGCGTTATATAGCAGCTATAATATTTATGACGAGTATAAAGAAACCATATACATTTAAGCGTAAGAAAGGGAATAGCAGGTGCATACTATAGTACTATTATATATATATAAGTAAAAAGCTAATATGGGAATAGAAGTTAACATTTATATTAGGTATATTTCATATATTATTCGATTATTATTATATTATATAAATTATAAATAGCAGATACCTAAATACCTTAAAAACTATTAAAATTAAAATGAATTATTGAAAAAATACTAGAGTCATGAGTATAATTGCTAATTTCAGTTGTCTATAAATATCTCAAAAAAAGTCAAAATATTTTGAAAATTAAATCATGTAAAGAAAATTCCTATCTAAATAACTGGTAAATATTTCAAGTATCTACAACTTATACTTTTTGAATAATAACAAATATTTAAAATTGTTAGAGGATAATTAATCGTCTTCGTTACGCTATTTCATTAAATATTTTTAAATTATTTATAAACATTTTCAATTTTTAATCTTATTAGTATTTTTTTTTATAAATGACAATAACATTTTATTTCGTTATTTTAAATTTAAAAAAGCGGGTAAGTCGAGGATGTCGCTCTGCTGTACAGTAGGTTACAAGTGAGTTACTGTAATGGATGGAATTAAATTTGAATCCAATGATATTATATCATTGTATACGGAAAATGATTCTGAGCGAAGACGGTTTATCTGTCTAGGATATAATATTATAGATTATTAAAAATTTTCAAATCTTAGATTTAAAAAGAAATTTTTTTATGAATTTCTAGCTTAAAATAATTTGTGAATTTTCGTTGTCAAAATTCAAACTTTGAATGCTTTTGGCTCCTCAAAGTACCAACTAGATTAACTTTCTGATCGAACGAGGTACTGAAGTCAAAAATCGAAGCACTTTTACTGCCCCAAAACGTGATGACTGATGACAGATATAAAAAAAAAAAAAAAAATAAAACACATCTTGGTAAAATCAATACATCATTCATCGCTCCGCTCAGAATCTAAAAGTAATGTTATACAATACGTGTAACCAATGTGTCAGTAAATTATAAAAAAAAAAAAAAACAATTAAAAACACTGATTGGAACCAAAGTTGTTTAATTTGTCTGGCATTCCGATTACTTTCTGTAAATACATTTTTATAAATAAATGTTTTTTTAATAAATCCCTTTTCATGAGGACTCCTAAAGCTTAAGATAAAATAAAGTTTAGCTTCCCTCCCCTAGAAAACTTAAATTACATTTATAATATACATTCTAAAGTTATGATTTCAAAAATATATACATCATAGTTTTCTTTAAACAAAATGTAAAATAATGATTAATGAATGATAATGAATAATGTTGTATTATAAAATAATAAAATAAATAAAATCACTTTAATTTAATAACTTATAACGGCAGTAAAGCCATGAAGTTATATAATAAATAAAGTACTTCAAATTACACTTTTAATAAGTATTTTAATCAAATAAGAAAATTAGATATTCTATTATTTTCAGAAATAGTACTCATGAATGGTGTAATCATAACGCTTATCTATACAGGTTGTGCCGTGAAGACATACCCATTAGCCGTAAAGAAGGAATTGCCGCCCGGATAAAAACCAGTTTTTTGCCTTTTTATTTATAAACTAAAAACTAAAAACATTATTGAAAAACATGAGAAAATTGTAGAAAGGTCGATATTTTTAGCAAAATAAACTCTATAAAATAGGTAT